TTTTGTTTGCACTTTTTCGGTCATATTCTTTTATATCTTTTCTTTTAGTTATTTTATTTTTTGTTTTACATAAAACGAAAAACACAGAGTGGGAAGCATACGAGATTAGTTGATAATTTTCGACGCTGTAGTTTTGATTATTCCAAGAAACAGCGGTAAAGTTAAACTTTACTAATGAAAATTTTACCGACTTCTGAGCTTCAGGGAACATTTATAGAATCCAGGCTCCTCTTTTTCCATTCATAAGTGGAAAAGGAGGCACTGTCAGAGAACATGCGATAAAGCTCGCACTGATATTAGATCTGTGTAGTATGCTCATTACGATTAGTCAGTGTTCGACCGTCAGCGAGAGAACATCTCAGTTCGGACTGTAAAGATATGGATCAACGGTTGCGCCGTCTGGGACCGCATTTCCAAAGAGCTCTATGAGGTGCCTTGTATCCAGCCTCTACGCTTACGTAACAAGGTTACCAGTTCCCAGTCCCTGCCGAGTGCAAGCTTTGATCACCGGTCAGTTGAGGATCTTCCGTAATGTAATCAAACATTTTTGGCTCGTTTCTTGGCCTTTTTGGGACTACAGGCTCGAAACTCTGTTGCTTTGTAACCCAAGGTGTTCCAAGATGAGTGCTGCACCGTTTACAGTGGAGATGATCTTTGTGTTTCTTCTGACATTGTGTCTTCTTCATCAGTATGGAAATTGGCGAAAGCAACATTGGCTGGTGACCATAGCAGTCTTCATTGCTTGGTATTTCTCATTCCTAATTGTTTTCATCCTTCCTTTAGATGTTTCAGCGGTAAGTTGAAATCATTTTCAATGTTAAAATGCCGGAAATTATTGTAATCACACCCGATTTAAGGAAAATGTAGCCTTAATTTTGTACACCAGTTGTCACTTGGTTTTGTCACTTTTATGTAGATTTTATTATGCGTCGGTTTTAAGAAGCTGAATTAAATTTGTGTCAAGCTAGTATTACTGAAAAAACAAGTGCCTTTTCTATATTTTCTACTCAAACAGGCAGATTTTATCTAGACAAAAACATATTTTCTCTACCATTTAGACGTTCTACAGAAAATGTTTGAAAGATGCTCAAGTGAACTCACGACATAAGAGAGAGATTTTGTCGAACACTTCTTCAAATTTCTCGGAGAGTAACTCAAGCCAGACTACTTCGTCAAACTGCGAGAAACCCTGGAGTTATTTACGGGAACATGTTCTTCCAGATCTTTGGCGGGTAGTTTACTGGTCTTCTCAGATACTTTCTTGGTAAGTAGTTGAAAATATACCTTCGGCAATGATGAAATTTGTAGCTGAGTTATTCGTCTGTGAGGCGAAAATCGTCTTAAAAATGTAGATGTTGTCAGTCCCTTCTAAGGTTCCCATGACCTAGTTTTGCACCTGTATGGCATGCCGACAGAAAAAATTACAATATTAAACAAAAACGTATTGTCTACTTGCTTTGACGAATTTTTTTGCATGGATTTACAAGCAGTATTTTGTATAGTCCTAAAAGATTGCAAATTTTTGCTTACCCAAATACAAATTTCTGAATTAATCAAAGAAAATCAAAGAAATTGATTATGTACCAATTCAAAATGCATACACACCAGTATGATCCAGTCTATTGCATGAAACCTCAAGTGTAATTTAAAGACTGGCAAGATTCCAAATTTGCCACTGTTGTTCTGCTCATGGCTGCTGCACTGTTGTTGAAAATACAATATAAAATAAACACAAATGCATAAAGTGTGAGGCAATTTTGATTTTATTCCTAAGATATGTATCTTAGGATGCTGGCAATCACCCAAAGTCAAAATGCTAATTCTCCATACAGACTGCCTTCATTTCTTTTTAAGCTGGGTGTGAGAATTTGTTTGCTAATCAGTATTAATGGTATTCTGTATTTGATAATGTTTTTTATTCACATTACCAACTCACTTGACAATGGGTTAATATTGTAAAGAGAAATTAGATGTTGGTCACGGGTTTGAAAGTTCTTTTTGTTTTTAAGGTTTATCCTTCCTATTATGCAGTCCTACTCATATGCGGGTGACTTTACTGTGCGGGGTAAAATCAAAACAGCACTGTATGAGAATGCACTATGGTATGGCAGCTATCTCGTCATCTTTGGTATCCTTCTGATCTACGTTATTGTGAAGCCTGAACTACATTTAGATGGGTGAGTATTATTATATCAGTACCATATTGATGGCAACAAGTCTTTCTTTATGTTGCTACATCTGTCTGCTAAACAATGTGATTGATATTGTGAGGTGAAATGAAGAGAATGGTACGGAAGACATGCACGAGTGTACATGTTGTCTTTTTATATTAATTTGTTTCCAACTTGGGTGAATCTGTTTCAATCTTACGGTAACATTCTGGTAATTAATTTAATTTATATATATATTTATTGCTGAGAAGCATCTTTAATATTTAGATTCGCTGGTTTGACAGTCTCTAGTCTCTCCTACTAAATCTGCTATCAAGTATCCCAAAGGTTGTTGTATAAACATAAGTCTGTTACTAAGTGCTCAATGCTCTTCCAAGTTTTGATTTATGAAACTGTTCTCTGAAAGATGTGGTAAATGGCATTTTCTAACACTAAAAATAGAAATCGTTCTGGAGGGGCATTCCCTCTAACCTAGGGCTGTAGCCAGAAAAAATTATGACTGAGGCAGGGTGTTTATGATGAGTATAAACAACAAAAATGAAACAAAATGGCCAAGGCAAGTGCTTCAATTTGTAGGTTTCTAGCTACTGCCTTTTTACCCCACTAGTAGCTCAGGTGCCTTGGGTGCTCAATTAATTTTCTCTTCCTTGCATGCTCTGAGGAAATCCATACCAAGCCCCTGATTAACTTGATTAATTTCAAATAACCTTAAAATGATCTTTATTAACTTGTTACAACATTGGAATATGGAAGTTACTGAGGCTGGTGTCTATTAAATACAGGGTCTGCTTAATACACAGTCCATGTTATAATAAAAAAGAGGGTGTTTCTTTTGATTATTCTAGAACATATTTGAAAATCATTGGAATCACTGCATCTAACACTTGGGGATTGTTGCTTCTGGTGTTCCTTATGGGGTATGGTTTGGTAGAAGTGCCACGCACTACATGGAACACTGCTCGGCTGGAGTTCCAGATGGCTCATGCTTACTTCAAAATATCAAAACTTAGTGTGGAAAGGGAAGAGGCGGAGGAACAATTGTCAGAAGTATTGGAGGTAATAAATCATTAATTTCAAGGTGGACTTTTTGGTACAAAACAACTGATACCAAACATGCCACTTACTCGTTGAATAAGTTTTTTTAATACTTCTTTTAATAGGAAGTAAGTCGGGCATCAGAAGTTTTACGTTACAGACATCCCCTTAGAAAGCACCTTGAAGTTATCATTAAGAAGGTATGTTGGAATAATTTATACTTTGCTTATTGGGTCTTTACAGTCAAACCTGAATTATCTTGTCTTCATTATGAAGACGTTTTTCATCACCATTCCCAATTTTGAATAAATATCATAGGTTTTAATTTACCATTTTGACATTGTATCAGCAAGAAGCGAATCTCTGACATTCTTTCTGTTGCACCCTAAAACAAGCCATTTTGTTGTCCGATCTGTAGGATTTGTGTGGATGAACTTTAGCCTTTGCTAGCGAAGTGGGAAATGTGTATCTATGATGCTAAAGCCCCTGAATTCATAAGTGTTTCTATGATAAAGTGATATGAGACACCTCTAAAACCTTCTAGGAGATAATATATACACACACACCTTCAAGAAGGTCACTGCAAATTAAGGGAGGACAGGTGCTTTCAAAAGCCAAAATTTTAAAAGAACAGTCAAGTCTGAAGCTATTCAGGAATATCACGTTGGGTGAGGAGAGAGTGAGAGGGGAATGGGACCAAGTTCCCCTGCTCCCCCAAATGAAAAAATAAACAACTCTAGGGTGCCAAGGTGTGGAGATTTTCAAGAGAAATACAATTATTACTAATTATTTTTTCTTGTTTTAGTTCCCAGAATCTTCGCAGTCCAATTTTAACAGAGGAACTGATGACTATGTTGATTACGAGGATTACCTGAAGGAGACTGGGAGTAGAATCACTGAGACCTACACAGAGAAAAGCTTAGCAAAACTTCACAAGAGGGTGATTACCATCACTCACACATGGAAACGCACACAATGGTGAGCNAAATTTATCTTAAACCATCTCATTGTTTGCTACCCAGATCGTCACAGAGGCTAAGGTGACTTGTTCTCAAACTGTTTGAGAATCAAGTTTTTTGCCACAAAAAGAAAAAAACTCTGGATTGTTTTTGATTGCAGGTGATATCATGTGTAACCATTTCATACATGTGTGTCTGTGTTTACTACACTGTCTTCAAAATGAGGTTCTTCAATTATTACTACTTTGCTCCAGAGCATCAGACAGATCCAAATAGCTTGCTCTTCAGTGGATTGTAAGTTAATAAAAGTAGTTGTTACTCTATGCAAGTGTCTTACACTCTCATCTCAATTCTTCCCTGGATTTATGTTTTAAAATTATTGTTTCTAAAACATACCTAAATCATAGCTAATTAAGAAATGAGGACAACTAAATGAAAAATGCCAAAGGTGGAAATTAAATATGGATTAAAAATTATATCACACAGCTCTCTTTTTACTTTTAATAATTTGAAACAAGAACTTCTGGTATAAAAGAATTGTTGATATTTTCTAAAAAGTGTTGACACTAGCTACAGTGGAATTTGGATTTTTCAGACTTCAAACTTCCTGATTTTTTAACCAGTTATCATTCCCCTAGGTGGTTCAAACATTTCAGATTCCACTGTACTCAATGCCGTGTTTTCTTCCTCTTTTCAGGCTTCTTTGTCGCCTGACATATGCTTTGTGTCTTAACTTCCTTGCTGTCATTCATCTTGATGGACATGTTACTGGAGCAGTTGAAAAAGTTGAAACTTCCTTCACTAAGGTAAGCATTTTCATTGAGCATTGAGACCTTGATGTGATCATAATGCATTTTTAAGAACCTGTTTATTATTTGTTTATACTAGTTCAGTAGTGCTCTATCTAGGCATTTGCACTCTGACTAGTAGATAAAAATATATTATTTAATAAATAAATAAATAAATAAATAAATAAATAAATAAAATTTAATGAATAGGAATTTGCAGTGGCACATCCCATGGAGAGGCTCTTCATCAACTGTTTCCAGATTGAATTGGAATTTAGTAGTGGTTTTTGTGAAGGGAGGAAAACCCAAGAACCCAGAAAAACCCTTGGAGCAAGGCAAGAACCAACAGTAAACTCAACCCACTCATGATAAGCACTGGTTTGGGTTGTCAAAAGTAGTCAACTGTTAGTGAAAATTCCCAACACTTCATGATTTCAGTCAGCCATTCTTCAGGGCCACTTTTGATTCTTGAGAACGAGATGGCATTGTTAACCACCTACTCTGACAGTAAAGTTTCATACTTCAAAACATTATGACAACCCAATTGTTTGTTTTCTTCACAGTTTATGGGCCACATGGACGTGTTGTCTTTCATTTCCAAAGGAGTCAACTTGTACTATCCCATGTGTGTTGTGTTGGTGTGCTTGGCAACGTACTTCAGTCTGGGTACCAGGTGTCTCAACTGTCTTGGTTTCCAAACTTTTATTATTGAAGATGATTTGTCAGCAGAGTATGTCAGTGAGGGAAAAGATATTGCTCGAAGAGGTAAGTTGCAGTTAGTCTTAACTCCGGTAAGCAGTTTCCAGTTTATTAGTCTCCACTAATTAATAAGCAACTTCTTGTAGTGTTAATGTGACCATGAGTACAACTTTGTGTTTGCTATTGCTGATTAACAATTTGTATTCATTTACTGTAAAATTCCAAGTTGGTGCAACTTAGCTCTATTTACGCACTTAAAACATGCAATGGGCTCTGTACTTTTGTTCACTACTTTAGGGATTTAGCGGTCTTAATTTTTTGACATTACTAATTTGGAGAGTTGTTGATTTCAGATTTTTTTCAGTAGTAAAATGTGAGAAGTTAGGACAAAATTCTCAAAGAAAATGTTTCATGCATAAAAGGCTTCCACATCACTGCCATCAAGTTAGTTTAAGGTTCCAACAAAACTAGATTCTCAAATCTAAGTGCTGCACCCAAATTGTTTTACATACTTTTCTGGTAAAACTGATACAAAAAGCTTTTAAGTTTGTTTCCAGTTCTACACCTACTGGTAATACAATAATTATTGTCTTCTGTTTGTCACCTTTATAGAGAGAAGGAAAAGGGAGATGTTGACTGAAGATGGAAGTCGCAAGGTTAGTGCATATAGATATTTCCTAGTAGAGAAATAATTTTGTGGAGATTTGGGAGTAGGAAATGTATTTAGCATGTGGTTTTTATCACAGGAATGACAGGAATAGAACCTTTAGTGATTAGTCTCAAATTTCCCTCTGTGGTGAGTACTTGAAGATCAGATTACACAAATCTGAACAGGGGTTCTGACATAATTATTCCCAGGTGTATCTCTTGGCCTGGGAGGTGCAGTGGCCTCATAGTTAGTGCACTTGTCTCTGGATCAAGCAGTCCAGGTTCAAGCCCTGGCCAGGGACATTGTGATGTGTTCTTGCCTCTCTCCACCCAGGTGTATAAATGGGTACCAGCAAATTCACTGCCTGGGGTAACCCTGAAATGGACCAGTATCCCATCCAGGGGGAAGTAGAAATACATCAATTCTAATTCCCAGACTGGGAGATAGAGCTTAAATCACCATCACTGGCCACCACTGATTTCAGCCCAAAGGAAATGCTCCATACGACCACAATTTTGACGGCCCATACACACACCTGAAGGTAGAAGCTTTTACAGTGTTTCACTTCACTTGTTTCTCAATTTATGATTTTTTATGATCCTAGGAATCTTGGTCAGAAAGGGCCGAGTCAGCAAAAAGAAAGCTTTCAGCTCGCAAGGCTGAGCGTGAAGGACGCGGACTCTCAATCAATGACAATGCAACATCTTTGACAAACCTTACAGGGTCTGATGGGAAGTATGCAAAGTATTCTAGGTTCGACACTGAAAGTGATCGTGTTGAGTTGTTGTCCGCTGCTGACTATGATGCCAATAGTTTATCGTCAAGTTATAATGCAACTTCTGGGTATGGAATATCATCACCCTCTAGTCGAGCACCAAAGAACATTTTTGATGACTTATAACACAAGGAATTTGACATGAACATGTAATTCCTGAGAGTTATTTAGATCTAATTTCTCTTTGCAACATAAACAAATTGCCAAGCAAAAAGGTAATTACAATGAAGATAACCATTGAATTATCAGGATATAAATACAGCAAATTCTATGATTTTGATGCAGCAACAAATTCTCATAAGTAGTGTGACAAGAAGTGTTATAGTATTCAGTAAGGAGAATTGATATTCTAATGAGCTTGGTTACAAAAGGGCAAAACTTTAATTAATATGTAGAGAGGGTTGGTACTTCTTACTGGTAATAACATTTTTAAATGTAACTTCACTTGGCTAATTAAACATTTGATAACTATTTATGAAATAACATCTGTTACCTAAGGTTTAGTGAACTTTTGCTGTATGGACAACAAAGAAATAACTGAAAATGTATATAAGCGCTACTGTCAATTTTTTTTTCAATTTAGGTGAACCTGATTAACATGACTAAAGTGAATTGTTGTTTTGGGATTTATTTGTCCCCCTGTAAGGTTTTTCCTGTTCCTTTGCATCCCTTCTGATACATAAAAGTGGTTAAAAATGTCCTTGTATACTGGACAAATAGGTAGTTATTGTCAAAGCACATGTAGACATGCAGGGGTTTCATTAACATTTTTACCACAAGGGTAAACTGGTTTTCACTGATGGGCAAAACGTTTTGAACTGAACTTCTTTAAAAGAAGAACTTTCCTCCAGATGGTCAAACCAGGTGGGCAAAATCGGCCGCACAGTGGATCAAGTTGCCCAGTGCCCAGCCCTTAATTAAACCCCTGGACATGAGTTGTAAATTTTGCATTAGTCTAATCTATGATTTGTTTAGCGGCATTTGTAGCAGTAAGCAGGAACGACAATGCATTGTTAAATTTGAGATGTAACAGTTGACTGTTTTAATGTGTTTGTATTAATTCAACTTCTTTTGACAAGGTTAGAAATGAACGTCATCTTGATAACTTTTTACCACTAACAGTAACATGATCACTTGTAGTTAATAGTTAAACTGTAAGTAACTTTGTTTTAAGTGGATTAAAAACCTTACAGAACACCAAGTGATATAATTGTAAAATGTTTGTGATTGTATTTATTTATAACTTAGCAAGCATGGAACATTTTGCTGTTCAATAAAGATATTTGAAATGCATATTTTTGACACCTTCCTGTGATGACATGTTTGTTTGGACAGTACATGCACACCAAAATGGGACTTTCAGATGTCTCTTTGTTACATGTAGGAGCTGTTTGTGATGAAACAATAAATTGCTAGAGGTTTTTTTTTATTATTTCAGTATGAATGGTTAGCCTCATACACAGACGCCCTTTGGCCTCATTATGCAATCTTTCAGGAAGATTGCATGATGAGCCCAAAGAGCATCTGCATTGAAGCTTATGTGAATAATAGGCAAACAAAATTATATTAAATAAGTATGGGATTCCAAAACTAACCTGCAATGAAGTTTTTTGGGATGGCCATAGTGGGAAATTTAAAGGAATGATGTAAAAAATTAATTGTTTTAAAAAATAATCTTCCAAGCTTCATCACTGACTATAAAAGATGTGGAAAAATTTTCATTTCAAAAAAATAACCATTTCTCTTGTAATATCCATTGCATGTAATATTTTTACAAATTTCTAAAATGTTTGTTCTTACAATATAATGATGTACACAAATCCTTTTATATTAAATTGCAAATAACTACTTTCAATAACAATTGTGAGGTCTGTTTTCTTTAAATACCTCAAATTAAAACCTGATTGCTTTGATTTTTTTTTTTAATTGAGAAGCAAAGCCCAAAACATTTTCTTAAAACTGTACATTAAAACAGGGATTAATTTTTTGCCTCTCTAACTTTTGTTTTGAACAAAACCAAAACATTTTGAAGTAAAGGTAAATTCTTCTAAGGGTAACTATTAAGAAAACCAGAACATTAGTAGGGAGATTTTGAAGATCTATCCTTTGCATTGCACACCCCAGATTGTTCCATAGTACACAGATCCAACTGGCCTGGCAATCATTGAGAAAAATGACTTGTTCACAGTGATGTTTGGAATTTCTGCCCTTAAGACCTCAATTCCCTCTGTGTTAAGAAGACCAAAGATCTGTAGTGTTTTGAGAGATTTCATCTGTGAGAAGGAACTAAACAGAAAATATGCAGTCAGTATAAAGTATTGAGTGGTTGAAGCAAGAAAGCATTGACTCATTTGTCAAGTTATCCTGCGGGTAGGTTCACGTTTAGGGAGCTCACACGTCAGTGACGAAGTGCTTCCTCCTCTTTACTCTTGCGTGACTAAAAGGTGAGCCTGTTCGCAGGCAACTGTAGGGTATACCTGTTGCACTTCGCCTCCCCTTCTATGTTCAATGTTGAGCTTTTACCAGTCTCAATCTAACAAGATTGTACTTGGTTTTGTTTTCAATTTACCTGGTATATCAAACACCCAAGACAGTGTTCGACCACATTTCAAACACCTTGAAGTTCTCCACAACTATTCTACTGCTTCTTGTATTTTCATCTCTCTTCTCAGTGTTTGGAATTGTTTACTACATCCTTTTACTTCTGTGGATATCCAAGCCACATACTCAAGTACCATAACTGGTCAAACACTGGTGAAATGATTGTTGATTATATTTCCAGGAAAGGAACCGAGTTTTACCTGAAAGCCATTGGCGGGATGTTGTAACATCGGCTAAGGCCTAGATGAACCAAGTGCTTTAGTTTGATAATTTCATCTAAAGACCTTGCAGTTAACAAAACTCCATCACTGAAAGATTGAAGAATTAATAATTAATATGAAATTTGCTGTCAATGGCTCAGTTATAGGTGTCCTGTGTCCATATTCTACAGACAAGGATGTAGCTAAGAAAACACTGAGATGGCTTGTTAACCATCCCAGACAGCTTTCTAGAATTTGCACCATCAAAGTTAACGCCTGGCCCAGTTTTGAGCTGGTTATAAGCTTGCTTTCACAGGGTTGGCCACCCAACATAAAATGAAAAAAATTCCCTGACTTCCCTGACTGTAATGCGATTTTTACTGACCATGCAGGAAGATTATTCTGCCTATGAATCAACAAAATTCAAGATGGTTTATTTCCCTGGTAACCTGAAAGTAAAATTTCCTGACTTTAATGATTTTGAACAGGAATTTGGAAAATCCCAGACTTGGTACCTTGAAAAAATTTGATTTTCTCTGACAGTGGCATCCTTGTACAGGTGTCCACAGAGAAAGGCTTGAATGTAGAGAACACCAATAAACAAAAATAAAATAGTAAACAGTTTTCAAAATGTGATAATAAAATTCTTACCTGAGGTCTAAATGTGTCAAATGAGGACATGATTTGACAAGCTGTTTGATACCTGGGGATTAACGAAAAATGGATTCATTCTAAACTGTAGTAATCGTAGCAGGTAATACATTGTCATACACACAGTGGTCAAGATTTATATTCCAAGGTAACTTCCTTTCTTTGGCAGTAAAGAAATTCCACTGCCCAGGGAATAGGATCGAAGGGTAAAGAGGAGGCAGGTAACAAGGCCCTGCTATTACTCCAGACTTCTCTCTTGCCTGTGCACATTCTTGATTTGCTCCTTTGCTAAAATCAAAAGGAGTTTCATGGTGCAAAGAAAAATGGACTTTGTAGCTTAGCCTTACTGGATGGTCACCCTAACAGATTCACTCACATAACGTACCTTTAACTAGCGTAAAACATGTAAGACTATAATTGTTACTACCTAATGGGCTAATGAGAAAAGCAAAGTTTGGAATGTCTTTGCCCAGGAACAAAACCATTTGACCTTCATAGGATTTACCAAACCAGAGTTCATTCAAGCCTGGTTCACACTTGTGAGATAAGCACAATCTTAAACACAAGCACAAGCATGTTCACACTAGCAACATATGCATGCACAGCATGAATCACATTGCAATTAGTTGAATTCTTGTGCTTATGCTTGTGCTTACAAGTACGTTTGCACTTACGCCTCTGCTTATCTCACAAGCTAAGTGTGAATCAGGCTTCAATGAAATGCCCCCTTTATACCTCTGACCGACAATACAGAAAATCTTGATCAACTTACAGTCATCTGTGAGAGTTTCTCTACATCCACTGAGGTTAAGTTGTTGAAGCTTTGGTAAATTTTTTATAATCTGCAAAAACAAATAACCATCAAATTTTGTCTACAGCAAACTATTATTGACTTTAAAACGTTTTTAGCCTGGCATTTGTATCAAAAAACTCTTCCTTTTGCAAGTGTTTGATCTCTATTTATTTCTGATGATAATTAATTGCAGGATGTCTGTGATTATTTAGTAGTAGCCACTCAGCTGTATTCTATTGGAAACCTGTAAATCTGAGCGGTTCTCTTGAGCATCATTTTCTATTCACTGATAGATAGTGATTGCATTCATGATACACAAAATAATAGGTGTTGTACTGTAATCCTTTAGAGTGTGTACTAAAACTGTTACAATAGACTAATCAC